CTCTACCCTCCCAAGCATGATGTCCCTCTCCAAGGACCTGTCCCTCCTTACAACATGTCCAAAGTATGTCAGACGAAGCCCCAGAATCCTTGCCCCCAAGGAGTAGCCTGGTTTAACCCTCTCCAGGATGAATCTGTTTGTCTTCTTGGCAGTCCATTGTACATTCAATACTCTTCTCCAGCACCACAGCCCAAAGGCATCAATTCTCCTTCTATCCTCCCTAGTCATTGTCCAACACTCTGATGCATAACAAGTGATTGCAAAGACCATGGCCTGTGTCAGGCACACCTTAGTCTTCAGAGAGACACCGCTGTTCTTGAGTACTTTAGAGACGTCCTAGCAGTCAGGAAATCAAAAGACAAATTTCATTAGGAACGTCTGCTGTCAGGGACCTCTCTAGAGTGCTCAAGAGCAACAATGTCAGTCTAGAGACTATGGTGCACCTGATTCAGGCCTTAGTTTTCACAATTATGTGCTTGGCATCAGAGAGGGGGACAATAACTGAGGAAAACAGAAGAAGAATTGATGCCTTTGAGTTGAGGTGCTGGGAAAAAGTATTGAGCATATTATGGACTGTCAAGAGAAGAACCAGGTCTGTCAGTTGAGATGGTGAAACTAGGCTGTTCCTTGGAGGCAAGGATTTCAAAACTGTGTCTTACATATGTTGGGCATGTTGCCAGGAATCCAGTCCTTGGAGAAGGACATTATGCTTGGAATGGTGGATGATAAACACAGGAGAGAAAGAAAGGCCTTGGATGAGATTAATTGATACAGTAACTGTGATAATGGAGATAGGTGTGTCAGAGACAGTAAGACTGACTCAAGATAGGGCAGAATTCAAGAGTTATTGTTCATGGGATTGTTATGAGCTGTGGTCAAATCAAGGGCACATAACAACAATAAAGCAATACAATTAGTATTGAGTTAAATACATGCAGGAGCTAGGGAGATATATCTGACTTCATGGGAATTGGTTTTTATGTTATTCATGATGTTACAGGGACAGTTTCTCTTTGTGAAGTTGGTAAAGGTCATCTTCAAATGTCCCTTGCTCTTTTTATAATAAGTTACATCTAAACATAGGGAAAAAACCAAAAAAAGTCATTTTCTCAGGGTATATTCCAAGCAGTGTAATAGCTTGGTCATATGGAATTTTTATGTTGAGCTTTCTGAGGACGCACCAAATTGACTTCCACAGTGGCTATACCATTATACAACTCCAGCAACAATGTATAAAAGTTCCTATCTCACCACATCCTCTGCATCATTTATTGCTTGCTGTCCTGTTAAACTTTCCCACTGTTAGTGGAGTAAGATGGGATCTCATGGTGGTTTTGATTTGCATCTCTCTTATTTCCAGTGATTTGGAGCATTTCTTCATGAGTCTGTTGCCATCCGAGAACTGAGGCACAAACAGAGACATGTAGACCAATGTTCATAGGAGTATTTTTCATGGAAAAAAACATGGAAACGGCCCAAATGTTCAGCCACAACTGAACGGACTGAGACATTATGATACATTCACATGATGGAATACTACATACCACTGAGGCAGCAACGATTTTGTAAATTACTACCTGACTTGGAAGGGACTGGACAGTGTTGTGTTCCATGAAGTGGCTTGGTCCCATAGGGATGGGTGTTGTACGAAACCATTATTGTAGAATGTATATGGGGATGCAGGGGAGTGGAGGGGGGCGGTTAATCATAACGTAGCACAGTTTGGTCAGTGAAGAGGAAAGAAGTGAGGGAGATCAGGTATGAGGGACAATGTGTGCGAGCTCTGTGGGTGAGCCAGTCTAAAATTTTTATTTAAGTAAAAGAAAAAGAAAAATCATCACCACTGGAATTAGCAGTCAAGAAATCAAAAGAAATGTTACACTGAGGAAATCTGCTGTCAAGGACCTCTCTATAAAATTATAAAACTTATATTGAGCAAGGATATAGGTTTAAAGACTAAGGTGTGCCTGATTCAAGCCATGGTACTTCCAATCGCTTCTTATGCACCTCTAAGTTGAAAAATGAATAAGGAAAACCCAAGAAATGATGCCTCTGAATTATGGTACTTGTGAAGAGTACTAAATACATCATAGACTGTCAAAGAACAAATAAATGTAACTTGGAGGAAATGTAACAAGAGTGTTCCTTAGAGGAAAAGATGGTAAAATATTGTCTCGCATACTTTACACATATTCTCAGAAGGGACTAGTCCTTGGAGGAAGAAATTATGCTACAAAAGGTAGAGTCGATGAAAGAGAGAAAGATTCTAAACGAGATGGACTGGTACAGTCACTACTACAATGGGCTTCAGCTTGAAGGATCACGAAGATGGTTCATGTTAAAGCATGGTTCAGATCTGTTATTCACAGAGACTCTGTGAGTTCCGCTGGACTCAAGGGCACCTAACAACAACTATGTTTTTGATAAAGAAAAAGGCAAAGATTAGAGGCAAAGGAGCGAAATAAAAATCCAGTAAAACTGTTGTAAATTATCCCACTATTAGAAATTTCTGTAGACTTTTTTTTTCTATTTTGAACTTACTGCCCTATTAAAACATTATTTAATACCTTGGTTACTGTTGGAGAAAAAGCAAATAGCTTTCCTAACATAAAACTTTTTAATAAAAGCAGAAGTCTCATTTACTCTAAGAGAAAGTTTTAAAAATATTAGGTAGTTATTCTATTGTTACCAGCAGTCAAGGGATCAGGAGACATACTGCAACGGGCAAGTCAGCTGACAGGGACCTCCCAAATTACTGAGAAGCAATGGGGTCACTATGAAGACTAAAGTACACCTGATTCATGCTATGGTTTTTTCAATCACTAGCTATGCAACTGAGAGCTGGACAATGAATAAGGATGATAAAATCTATGTCTTTGAGTTGTGGTGTTAAGAGAACAGTACTGAATATCCAATGAACTTCCAAAGGAACAAACAGATGTCTTAGCGAAGGTACAACCAAAATGCTCCCTGGAGGCAAGGATGGTGAAGCTTCATCTCACATATTATGGGCATGTTGCTAGGAGAGGCTTTCCCTTAGAAACATCATGGTTAGAAACATGGAAAGTCAGTGAAAGAGAGGAAGACCCTCAAACATTTGGATTGAAACAGTGACTGCAGCATTGGGCTCAAGTGTGTCAAAGATAAAAAGCATGGCACAGGTCAGGGCAGTGTTCAGTTCTGCTGTTTCCAGGGTCACTATGAGTAGTACTTGAGTGGATAGTACCTAACAACAACAGTTCCAGGACACTCTATAAGGCAAAGTTCCATCCACTGTTCACAAGGTTGCTGTGAGCCAGTTGATGCGCTAGCACCTAACAGCAACAATATTCCAAGACAATTCAATTGATTGTACAAATTTCACAGTATAATGTATTCTACTAGATGGCCGCTAACAAGAAGTGTAACAGTTGGGGAAAAACACCTAGAAAACTGAACTTGGGAAAAATATATAGAAAAATGAAATATTAAATAAAAATTTAAGTATGGACAATTTATACTGGCAACAAAGGAAGAGAATGGAAATTCAAAATAATTTGATCAGATCACCAAAAAATTTAGTTCCTAAGACCATAAATACAGCAAAGTAGGCTAAAGAACTTTTGGAGTTACAATAATGACTGTTATAGTACTTATTCCTGGTGTAAAGGGGGTGGGGGAGAACCACATGTGATGTATAAATTAAAAAGAACAGACTTAACATTTTCTACATTTTGATTCTCAGACCAAATAAGAAATAAAACCAAATGATACTTACTGTAGTAGCCATATAATACAGTATCCTCTATCTGTTTGCTGACATTAGCATTAGCCCAATCCTAGGATTTAAAAAAAAAAAAAGTAGAAATAATGAAACAACTATTTGCTTAGTACAGTTTGATTCTTATATATAACATGTATAACCCACTGAAAAAAATGATGATCCCTTACCTGGATGAGTGAGATCAAATAAATAAAAAGACAATAGTTTCAATAGATTAGTATAAAGATGACACACACTTCTAGCATCACACACAAGCAGAAGCACCTAACCTGTACTGTAGAAAAATGACTAAACTGAGACAGAAAAGATTAATCTTTTAAATGTAAGAGAAAACAGTAGGAAAGAAGGTGAGAGTAAATAAGGATGGAAACTTTTTTTAAAAAATTCTAATAAGCTAAATATAGATCCAATACTGTTCTGAGAAAGGTAAAAGAAAGTCAGCGTAAGATGGGAGAAGGATAGTTGTTTCAAAGATTTGTGAGTCATCCAAACCCCTGATAATACCCTGTTGTTGCTATGTACGGTCAAGTCAGAACTGTTGATAGCTGATCCTCTAAAAGATTTTTATGAGGTAGTAAATCACACAGGAAGCGATGCTCGCCCATCTTTTGTTTTTCCTGCAGAGCAGTTAGTGAATTTGAAACACGTGCCTTTGGGTTGGCAGTATAAATGATACTTAGATTTTTAAAAAGGGAAAGGATATCTCATAATCTCAATGTCCCTGGGAGAAATGGTAAAATGCATTCTTGTATATTCAAAACATGTAATAAAATAGATGATATAAAATGGCATTAACAGGTAATCCATGGAATGCTTCTGCTTGGAAAAGAGGAAAGAGAGAAGATATTCAACAAAATGGATAGACATAGTGATTGCAGCAAAGAGCTCGGCTAGGACAAAGATTGTGAGGATAGTAAAGGATAGGTTAGAGTTTCAATTGGTTTGCTCAGAGAGGTCAGAATGAGTCATAGCCAACTCAAAATGAGTCACACTGAACTTGAGGGCACTTAACAACACAGTACTTCCGAGTGGAAGAAGTATAACAAGTTACCAGCCAATGATTATAGCACAATGCAGTCTCTAAAAAAAAAATAATGAAAAAAAATATGCATGTTATACATACACAGAAAAATGGAAGGTAAATCAAAGTAGTGCTTAGCACATGAGAATGGAAATGGGTTGAAGAAAGGGGCAAAACAGTATTTGGAAAGTTTTTATCAAGAATTAATATATCCAAATGAACACACGCATAAAGTTTTAGCATCTATGAGCTGTTCATCAGTATTTATGTATCAACAGAGAAGTAAAATTAGAATTTTTATGAATAATTTAAGAATCTGAATGTATGTATAAATCTTTAGTCTATAACTTGTTCTTCAGTAACTTAATGTATGAAAGTGAAGTTTATGAAAAATTCTAAAGACAATCAAGTTAAGAACAATGTATCAATAAGAGATCCCCCTTCCCATTAAAAAATTTGAGAAGTTGCTAACAAAACTCCAGGAGGCTGTAATGACCCATTGAGAATCACTTAAATCTCTACAAGATCTCAACCTTAGAAAAAAAATTAAAAGTGGAAATTCTAAAAGTAATTGAAAGCCAAAGAATGACTGAAATTCGGCATCTTTTAACCTACAATGTTTATTTTATTTACCCAAATCTAGTGGCAAGAAAAAAACTATTATTGTTACTATTTTAAACACAAAACTATGTGTAAAGTATACAATATCACTCAAGTACTATTAGTGTACTTGGCTTATATACAGTTTTGCCTCCACAGTATTTGATGTACGATCTAGTTTAGTTTATGAAAAACCTTCTACAACTTGAGAACTGCTATGCCCTTGATATGTTTTATAAACAACTGCTTCCTAAAGTAGAAACCAAAAGGAACTTCAGAGTCATTTAAGACAAAAGAATGTGAGACATTCAAACATAAATATTAAATAGTATGTGAATTCCACAGAACAAAGATGTAAAAGGATTCTTATATAAATTCTATTCATTTCTCAAGCTGACTTTTTAAAACTCTGTTATAGACTCAACCGTGCTCCATCTCAAAATATATGTTATGAATAAATCATAATGCTCTGTGTCTAATTATAATTCCATTTGGAAATGGACTGCCTTTGTTAGGCTTAATGAAACAGGATTGGGTAAGGTGAGTCTTAAATCAATCTCTTGAGATATAAAAGCAATTAAATAAGAAACAAGAAGCTGAGGGAAGAGAGATTCCAAGCCACATAAAGATCTCACATGAGCAGAAGCTCACAGACACAAGGAATTTTGTCCAGAACAGAGAAAGCGTCTCCCCAGCTCTAATACCTTGAATTGAGACTTCTTTCCTCCTAAACTCCAAAGAAAATGGATCTGCTTGCTAAAGGCACAAATCTGTGTTATTTTTTTTAACAGTAGACCTAGATATAGAAAGAGACCAGTTGGCTTAGTGGACAGAAAGTGATGCTACCAAGCCAAAGGTGGATACTTCTAATCTGCAGCCCTCAGGCCTGTTTTACATTGTTTTTGTTCAAACATTCTTCTAGGTCATATAGCCCTGGTGTGTCCACTTGTCATACAGAGGTAACTGTGGTTGCTGTGAAGCTAAACACTGTGACATTGATTTGTCAAATGCATTAATGGTTACCCATCGTGGACAGTGTTTGGTGGAGCTCCCTGATTAAAACAAGCTTGGAAGCAGGAGTGGCATCCACTTCCATAATAGTTTGCCTCCGGAAACCCTATGAACATGGAGAAAGGATGAAAGTCACACAAGTGCTGAGGACTTTCGTTCATAGGGTCGCTATGAGTCGCCTAACAACAACAACAACAGACCTAAATAACTAATATAAACTCACCTCAAATCACCAATATGACTCTTCTTCCTTTTACCTAGTAACCTCGCTCTACATCAAAGGTTATCAATTAGAGATGATTCTGCCCCCAAAGAACATTTGGCAATGTCTGGAGACAACTCTGATTGTCACAGCTGCAGGGGCTGAGGAAAGGGTACTAATGGTATCTAGTACCAGCAGACAGAAATCAGGAATATTGCTCAACATCATATACAATGTCCATCAAGACAAAACATTATCCAGAATGTCAATAGTGCAAATATGGAGAAACTCTTACTCAAGGAATTCTAAAGCAATTTAAAAACAACTGCTCCTTTGATCTCCAATTATCTCTGAAACATTTTCATTTATATATAGAATTAAGATTTTCTTTTCTACAAAGTGCCCATGCACTTTGACCTATGACGTTATAATCAACCCTTTAACTTTGAAGGAGCTCTGGTCTTCTTGTTGTTATTAGGTGCCGTCAAATACCACTCAGCAACCCAATGAACAACATATCTGAACTCTGTCCTACCTTTGCCATCCTAATCCTCTCCAACACATGCCAGCCCACTGCTGCAGTCATTGTGTTAATTCACCTTGTTGAGAATCCTCTTCTCTTTGGCTGATCTTTGGCTTTCCAAGTATGATATGCCTTTCCAATGAATAGCCTCTCCTCGTAATATGCGCAAAATATGTGAGAAGTTTCATCATCCTTACCTCCAAGGAGCACACTGGCTACATTTTTACCAAAGTATTATCTGTTTGGTTCCTTTTGTAGTCCATGAATTCTTTTCCAATAATCTTCTCCAGTCCAGTGTTCTTCTCCAATATGACAACTTAGAGGCATCAATTTTTCTTTTATTATCTTTATTTATTTTCCAGCTCTCAGATACATAGCAATTGACTAAAAAGACGATAACCTGAATCAGTCACACTTTAGTTTTCAAAGTGACATCATGGCTCCTCAGTAATCTGGAGAGATTCCTGACAGCAGAGTTGCCCAAAGCAATAAGTCTCCTGATCTCTTGACTACTGGTAGCAAGTGTGGTGGTGGTGGTGATGCTGTTGACATGAGTGAGAACTGACCCACAGCTGACCCTCTCAGCAGGAAATCAGTTTTAAGGACCTGCACTGCCAATGTAAAGATTCACAGAGTGAATGCCCCAGATGCTCTGTGGGAGAAAGATGGGCAGCCCCTGTTATGTGATGAAATGCTTCTGAAAACCCACTGGAGTGTCAGCTATGGTTCAGCTTCCACTTGATGATACACAACAACTTTCACTTTAGGACCATCAACACCACAGCCTTTCAAGAACATTTTACCTGAAATTTACCCTCTTCCTCTCTATACAAATTTTTTCTCTCTCTGATGAACCCTATCCTGAGCCCAGGTGGTGTAGCATTATAGTGTGTCAAGCTGCTAACAAAATATTCAACTATGAATCCTACAGAGGTGAGCAATCTCCTCTCATAAAGAGTTCTAGCTTTGGAAAACTGATGGAGGGTCAATATAAACCAGAATCAACTCAGAGACAGGGAGTTTGAGCTACTGAATTTGACAGATACAATCTCAAATACTTATCACACAAATAGGTACAGATATGCAGCACAAAAAATAAGACCTTATTGACTTTCATTCTATATTAAATACAGGGAGTTCGCTCGTGGAATACTTCCCTTCCATGCAGAGCCTTGGGTCCAATTTCCAGCTAATATACCACATAAACAGAGACTACCAAGCCATCAGAGACAAATGGGTTATGTTGCTATGATTCTGAACAAGTCTCTGGTATATAATGACTAATATGAACTAAGAAATAGGCTAGCAATCAATTTCCAAACATCAGCCAAGGGATCACAATGACTCAATATGTACCTAAATCATGAAGGATGGCACAAGGCCAGGCATGTTCCCAGGAAATGCCAAAAACTCAGATATTCTAACTTTAAAACCAAAAATAAAAAATAAAAATTCTATTAAAACAATAATTACATAGCAAGCAATTCTGTTTATACATTAATTTCTCTTAAGGAAATCTGAAGGATGCTCTAATAATCCTAGATTTAAAGTATGTTTTTTGCTTCTTTAAATACAATTGCTGTCAGAGAAGAAAATATTTTAGAAATTTTTAACTATGTGTTGTACATCTGAATTACACTAAAGGAGCCAAGGAGCTCTGGTGACTTTTAGTGGTAAAGAGTTACTCTGTGGGCAGTT